CTGTTTTTACTGTTTCAGTAGCGAGGTATTATGTTTATGTTGCTATTTCCACGATTAATGTGGGCTTTTCTGCATTTTTCTGCACAGTTGGAAAGTTTTCTTTGGTAGGCCTGATGATATTGCTGGAATATTGCTAAAAGCGGTGTAAAACCCAACTCATTCATTCACTCACTCACTTGGCACAAGAGTTGTCGATAGCACCGATACTTGTTCTGCTGAATTTCATCCTATAATTGTGGGTTTGAACCCCAGTTCACTATGATTAAATTTCCAGGTTTGGCTGCACCATACCCAGGCCCAACACTATGTAAAACTATAAAAATATATTACATTGATATCAAAATGATCCAGTATTAAAACACTACCATCAAGTATAACATTAGAAATTGTGAAACTTCTGAAACTATTAACCCGTGAAGGTCCGGGTTAGAATATTGATCTTCAGTAACCCATGCTTGTCGTAAGAGGCGACTGACGGGATCGGGTGGTCAGACTCGCTGACTTGGTTGACACATGTAATCGGTTCCCAATTGCGCAGATCGATGCTCATGCTGTTGATCACTGGATTGTCTGGTCCAGATTAGATTATTTACAGACCGCCGTGTATGGCGTACAACTAAACTCACTCACTGAAAATATTATTAAGTCATTTAAAGAAAAATAGACACATATTTTTCCATTATATTCATATTCTTTATACTGCAAATAAATCAAAGGATATTTGTTTTTTGCTAATCTTCTGAAACTAATATTGACAGTCATCTGAAACACTATTGAAATAAAAATTCACCATGTACATATTTTGTTCTTTGAACAAAATCAGAATATATTTTAAACTATTTTTTCATCATTACGATATATATAGAATAAAAATATCTCATCATGTGAATATTCTTTACTCTGTAATAAATCACAAGGTAATACAGTAACTTTGAGTTGCCTCTGTGAATCATGAGTTCCTCCCAGGTAGTCTTTGTTTAAACACAGAGCACAGTACCCCCACAGCGCTATAATGTTTGCATTGTTTTGTGATGAAACGGTACACATCCAAACACCATGTATTTCTGTTATTGTGATATGAGTTCGTATTGCACTGTAGCAAGGTGGGAGTATTTGACTGGAGAACTAATGAGGTTTACACATGTCATAGAATAAACCCAGTATATTGGCATACGAAAGCCTGCACAATGGATGAGACTTGGTTTGTGAATCAGCCCCTTGCAGGGGGCCCTTCAGTCTGTACACTCGTATCCACCTGATATGAAATCTATAAACTCCCAACACGTAAGCTACCCCCAAGGTGTGTAGTCAGTGTAAGGTTTGTCTGACAGTCGAGTGTTAAATTGATTGAGATAAGGTGATTTGTTGGGCCATTCATTCATTCATTCATTCATTCATTCATTCATTCATTCATTCATTCATTCATTCATTCATTCATTCATTCATTCATCAATGTACAACTAAAATGTACATGTACAGCAACCTATAACATAATAAGTTATGACAATATGTTTCTGTATATCTATATCTGTATGTCTGTCACAGTGTGTCTGTATGTCTGTCACAGTGTATCTGTATGTCTGTCACAGTGTGATGTACTGTATCACCGTATATCTGTATGTCTGTCAAATTGTGACTGTGTGTCTGTCACAGTGTGTCTGTATGTCTGTCACAGTGCATCTGTATGTCTGTCACAGTGTGTCTGTATGTCTGTCACAGTGTGTCTGTATGTCTGTCACAGTATGATGTACTGTATCACCGTATATCTGTATGTCTGTCACAGTGTGTCTGTATGTCTGTCACAGTGTGTCTGTATGTCTGTCACAGTGTGTCTGTATGTCTGTCACAGTGTGACTGTATGTCTGTCACAGTGTCTGTATGTCTGTCACATGTCTGTCACAGTGTGTCTGTATGTCTGTCACAGTGTGATGTACTGTATCACCGTATATCTGTATGTCTATCACTGTATGTCTATCACAGTGTGTCTGTATGTCTGTCACAGTCTGATGTACTGTATCACCATATATCTGTATGTCTGTCACAGTGTGATGTATGTCTGTATCTGTATGTCTGTCACAGTGTGTCTGTATGTCTGTCACACTGTATGTATGTCTGTATGTCTGTCATAGTGTGTCTGTGCTGTCTGTCACAGTATGTCTGTATGTCTGTCACAGTGTGTCTGTTGTCTGTATTGTGTGTCTGTATGTCTGTCACAGTGTGACTGTATGTCTCGTGTACAACATGTACAGCAACCTACAACATATGTCTGTTATGTGTCTCTGTTTCTGTATATCTATATCTGTCACAGTGTGTCTGTATGTCTGTCACAGTGTGATGTACTGTATCACCGTATATCTGTATGTCTGTCACAGTGTGTCTATGTCTGTCACAGTGTGTATGTATGTCTGTCACAGTATGACTGTATCACCGTACATCTGTATGTCTGTCACAGTGTGTTTGTATGTCTGTCACATTGTATCTGTATGTCTGTAAATCTGTATGTCTGTCACAGTGTGTCTGTATGTCTGTCACAGTGTGTCTGTATGTCTGTCACAGTGTGTCTGTATGTCTGTCACAGTGTGTCTGTATGTCTGTCACAGTGTGTCTGTATGTCTGTAACAGTGTGTCTGTATGTCTGTCACAGTGTGTCTGTATGTCTGTCACAGTGTGTCTGTATGTCTGTCACAGTGTGTCTGTATGTCTGTCACAGTATGACTGTATCACTGTACATCTGTATGTCTGTCACAATGTGTCTGTTTCTGTATATTTGTGTCTGTATGTCTGTCAAAGTGTGACTGTATGACTGTACATCTGTATGTCTGTCACAATGTGTCTGTTTCTGTATATTTGTGTCTCAGTATGTCTGTCATCTGTATGTGTGACTGTATCACTGTATATTACATCTGTATGTCTGTCACAATGTGTCTGTTTCTGTCATATTTGTGTCTGTATGTCTGTCAAAGTGTGTCTGTATGTCCATCACGTACATCTGTATGTCTGTCACAGTATGACTGTATCACTGTTTCTGTATGTATGTTGTGTCTGTATGTCTGTCAAAGTGTGACTGTATCACTGTACAACTGTATGTCTGTCACAATGTGTCTGTTTCTGTATATTTGTGTCTGTATGTCTGTCAAAGTGTGACTGTATCACTGTACATCTGTATGTCCATCTGTCCACCCACACTGACTTACAGCAATCATTTCCTGTGATTTTCCAAGACAAGTTCCGACTACAATACAACGCCATAAATCACAGCCATTGAATCTTCAATTCTCTCTTTCCTGACAGAGGAAGGGTTATAGCCACTTACAAAGAGTGTCATGTTTTTCTAACACACAATCTCATTAACATGTAGGGGGTCGTCAACCCCTAGACCTCCCAACACTTTTCAAACCTTCACAAAAAGCAACCATTTAAGTCCGAAATTATGCTGAGTACCCCCCTAATATGTTTGCGTGGCTGGTTTTACTGCTGTAGTCCCATCCAGACACCTCAATGACTGGGCGATATAACCGCTGTAATCCTTTCAGCTGTCACCATCAATGACCAGCCAAGAGATTAGCATTTACATACCTGAATAGCACCATATGTATCAAACCAAAGGATTTGGTGCCCTATGCCCCTCCCCTCCTCTCCACCCCTCCCTCCAACCCCAAACCTTCTAGAGATTAATAATGATTAATGTCAGTTTTAATGTCAAATCATCCCATTTTGATCACGTGCATCGTAACATGATGTAAGAAACTAGGCAACTTGGGCTATAATTGAAACAAATTTGATAAAAGATAAAATAGATGTTTCTTTCATTTCTAGTAAGGGAGCCTCAAAATAAAGATTCTCATTATGAAAAATTATGATTAATTGATAGTTGAGTCTATAAGCAAGAGGAAGTCACGTGTCATCTCCAAACGTGACAATGGTTCAGCGATTAATATATTTTTCCATTTCACTATCATTTATTATGGAAGACTGAAGCACAAGTCTAAGTTATTTAAAATTACAATTATTCTCAATACACCTGAGCAGTTTGGTCATATTTCAAGTTTAATAGATAAAGCAGTGCAGCGTGAAGTTATTTACACATGCAATGATACTTATAGGTAGGAATTCATATATTTTATTTTTCTAAACATTTGGTCTTTTACACTTTTTGCTTTGTGTCTCTCATTTTAGTTTTTACAGCTGACTGATAATTCTCAAAATAATTCTCTCATTCGTAACAATCTCAACCTAAAAAAGTACCTAATTAGAAAAAGAAGTATTACTGAGAGTTGTTTACACATTTTTACAAAATAGGTTTTTACAAAAACAAACTTATGTGCCAAGCAGTTGCTGTAAATTTGTCGACAATAAATTATTCTTTTATATTAAAAATTAAAACTCAAGTCTGTACTCAAATCGCAAAAAGTACAAAAGTAAATAAACATTGTCCCATCAAACTACATGGTTGACAGTATTATAAGTACTCTACTGACACAGAATTCTCATGGAGCAAAGATCATATATAACGCCCCTGATATACCCTGTTAGGTCTGTCTGTAGTAAGTTATATCATGCACCAAGCTAATGTCACAGCCAACTAGACAACCAAACATTCTATCTCCAGGGGCTGGGATTTTCATTTGACAAATAAGGTGATCATTCTTTCAACATGTTTGTTTTGCATTACTTGAGGCCGAAATTGTTTTTCAGACCCATCAAAATAATTTTCAAACATGTCAATTAGGTAATGGTTTCTAATCATCGTTACTTCTTTTGACATCCGTATTATATATATTCCACACAAAGTCATACCTAAAAAGATAATTTAGATTTGTATGTTTTGTTTGTTGTTTAAGGCCGCATACAGCAATATTCCAGTTATATGGTGGCGATCACAATCCAGTGATCGACAACATGAGCATCGATCTACACAGATGGGATACGATGACCTGTGTCAACCAAGTCAGCGAGCCTGACCACCTGATCCCGTTAGTCGCCTCTTACAACAAGCATGGGTTGCTGAAGACCAATTCTATCCTGGATCTTCACAGGTATATAAATAAGTTAGATTCACAAAGTTTACTTTGCATCACAGAATACAAGTTATTGAGACATACCAAATATATTCTCTTTCCAATAATGGGTTAGCCTAGTAGTTAAAGCGTTCGGGCATCATGCCAAAGACCAGGGTTTGATTCCCCACATGGGTACAATGTGTGAAGCCCCATTCCTTGTGTCCCTTGCCGTGATATTGCAGGAATATATTTTTTTGCTTTTATTTCACTTTTTTTTTTCGTACAAAGTCAACATACAGTGAGTAATATGAAATAAACTAAATAGAAAACAACTTCAACAAATTATAATAATAACAAAATAATGGTACACTTACAATTTATCTTCGAGTTGTATTTATTTAAATTATATGAAATTTCAACATCTTTTTTGATATATGAAATGTTAGGATGCATATTTCTAATCTTGATTTGAAAATATTGTATCTTGTGATAATTATGATACAGTTGAGCACATCATTTCATTCATCAGGGCATCCAAATAATACCTTTTTCATATCAAAGTGAAGAAAAGTGCCCGTTTTATGTTGAATCCATTCAATACCATTATTCCAAACCTCTTTGACTATATCACATTCATAGAATATGTGTATTATGGTTTCAACACCTGTTTTACAGAAAGTACAAGCATTGTATTTTAATTGCTGGAATATTGATAAAAGCTAAACACACTCACTCACTCTTTGCAAAACACCTGATATATAAACATTTACATGAAAAGTGTAACCCGACCAAACAAAAAGGAAACAGTAGTAAGTATCGGCTTTGAGGATCAACCCTGTAAGGAAATTATATTCAGCTGTGTGTTGGAGTTCTGATCACTCACAGTTATATTACTCAATGCATACTCAATCACAATAATAGTCATTTAAAATTTGTTGCTCAGATTTGCCCGTTACAGAACAGAGAGTGACTCACAGCCACCAAGACACACATAAATCATGAGGAAATGTGTCAAATGTTTTATTATAAACTTTTTTTTTTCCAAGTCACCACGCCTGCGTGTTGACCTTGATATCTGCGGTGTAGGGGACTTCTTCACAACTGTCGCACTGCTAATATAAATGAGACTTCGATTTCATAAACATGACACACAGTAACAAATACTTTTAATTAATTTCCCGACTTGTAAGTGTATGTACTGAGGGGCTAGAATCACATAAGTACATTGTTAAGATGTAAGTACATTACTAAGACAAATGAGACTGTATTCGTTTAGAGTCAATAAAACTAACAGTAAAGTCAATTACTTGGCTGATAAAGAAAGTTAAAAAGTAACGATTTATTGACAATGCCGTCATTATTTTTTGATAGATTTTGGTTCTTGTTTACGTCTCTCTTTTTTTTAAAATAATTTAATCAAGATCACTATCACAAATGACTGACTTATTGTCCTTATGACTAATTGTCCAAAATGGCCGACTTTGATCTCGACATGGAAACAGTTGTTAGGGAAATACCTTGTGAGGAAGTGTCGAAAGTAAACTGATAATGTTTGTGATGACAAATGCGGTATTTCCACTAATGTGACAATACTGTGTAAGAATATAAATATATTATGATAGTATTCTTTTGATTTGTAATTTCAGAAAATGCCTGGCATTTCCACATGGCTGAGTTTAACACATCAATTTTTTGTTTAAACAGATAACTGGGGAACTAATTAGAGATTGATGTAGCTCTTTGTTTAATAAGGTGTTAATAAAAACTTCTGAGTATATTCTGACTGTAAGCCATGGTAGTATGTTGGGCTTGTTTTTGTTTACTACTCATAAATATTAGGGATCTCTTGATTCTTTCATATCACCATGAGATCAATTATGGTAATATGAAAGAACCAGAAGAATAAATATCCATGCTGATCATTGCTCTGGGTTATTAAACCATATGAATGGTCAAGCCTTTTGCGAGCATTAACTCACGGTATTTCTACTTGACATTATTAAATGTTCCACCAACCATAGTTTCATCAACACACTAATAGTTTGATCAATAGACCATTAGTTTGATAAATAGTCCATTTTTTTTTATTAACAGACCAATTGTTTGATCAGTAGACCAATAGTTTGATTGATAGACCAATAGTTTGATCAATAGTCTAATTGTTTCATCAATAGACCACAATTTTGATCAATACTCCAATAGTTTGATAGTCCAATTGTTTGATCAACAGACAAAAGTTTGATCAATACACCATTGTTTGATTGATAGTCCAATTGTTTGATCAATAAATTGTTTGGTCAACCACCTATTGAGAATAAGTTCATGCTGTGATAGATAGAAACATACTTTCAAAAAGTTTTTCTTGGATTGCCAATTGATCAGAGCCTTTTGTTTCTTAATAAATACTCCAAGCTGCTGCAGCAGAAGCAGTGTCCTTTGATGAAGTAGTGAGACTTTGTAAACTGGAGCTGACTCCGGTGTAAATGATTAAAGAAGCCTCTGAGGTTTTGGTTGGCAGTGTAAGGCTGAGGAAGATAATTGACAAGCCTTTGCATGTGTTTATGACGGGTGCCACTGACAGGCAGGATACACTCACTACACGCTTTATAACAGTGTTAAGATCTACACCCAAACGTCGCATCTACCTCAATAAAGAAGTTGTCTCTCCATAAAAAGACTTCCTCTTCAGGATACACTCACCTTTTAGCAAACACCTGGAATCACCAGGCGTTTAACCTGTCAAAAATCAACATTAGATGCATATTTAAAGGCTGTTTATGCAAATCTCTGAGGTGGTCTGACTTGAGAGTGGAGCCCCCCCACACACACACACTCACTTTGAATGGCCATACAATGATAAATAATGACAAGGTTTATAACAGAACTTTGTGGCCTGCTGTCATCGAAACTGTGTTGCAATTTTTCTGGTCGTCTGTGACATCACAATCAGGAGATAGCAACATTACATTGCCCGACATGTGTTGCCCGGCGCTGTTGACCAGGACGGTGCACACTCTACATGATAGATATGGCGGATAGCCGTACATGGTACCTTCAGCATGTCACGATGTCTGGATATCTCCGGATTCCAGCAACCATTCCAGCTCCAAATATGAGCAGTTTGAAACAATGTCTGATCTTTTGAAAATGAAACACAAGTTACTTTCATGACTGTGTTTCAAGCCTGTTGATAGTTCTTACATTAGCAAGTAGAACAAAGCTTGTCTTTGTCTGTAGACACTTGTTTACTGTGGTTTTTGTGAAGTGACCATTTATTTTCTGGGGTGTGATCAGAGGTAAATGCTAGGGTTGAACAGACGGTAGTGCTGCATACATGTTTGTTCAGGGAAAAGATATTTTGGTGTCACAGAAACTGTATTACCCATTAAACGGAGCAAACTTGATTTCCCATGTTACATTCTATTTAAAAAGTAAAGTACAGCAACAGTTATTAATTGTATATTTCTCTGGGACTGTCTCCTCTCCAGTGACCATCTCTCCTGTCTCTCTCCTCTCTCCTTCTCTCTCTCTACTCTCTCTCATTCTCTCTCTTCATTCCTCTCTCCTTCTCTCTCACTATTCTCGATCTCCTCCGTCTCACCCTCCTCCATCTCTCTCCATCTCTCTCTCTCTCTCTCTCTCTTTCCCTCTCTGTCTATTCCTCCTCCCTCTCTCTCTCTCTTCCTCTCTTCACTGTCTCCTCTCTCTCTCTCTCTCCTCCACTCTCTCTCTCTCCTCCCTCTCCTGTCTCTTACCCTCCTCCTCTCTCTCTCCTCTCTCTCTGTCTCTCTCTCTCTCTCTGTCTCTTACCCTCCCACTCTCTCTCTCCTCTCCTCTGTCTCTCTCTCTACTCTCTCTCTGTCTCTTACCTCCTCCACTCTCTCTCTCTCTCTCTCTCTCTCGTCTCTCTCCTCTCACTCTCTCTCTCCTCCTCTCTGTCTCTCTCTCTCTCCTCTCTCCGTCTCTTCTCTCCCTCCCCTCTTACCTCTCTCCTCTCACTTCTCTCTCTCTCTCCTCTCTCCGTCTCTTACTCTCCCACTCTCCTCTCTCTGTCTCTCTCTCTCTACCTCTCATCTGTCTCTCTCTCTCTACCTCTCACTGTCTCTTTCTCTCTCCTCTCTCTCCGTCTCTCTCTCCTCCTCCACTCTCTCTCTCTACCTCTCACTGTCTCTCTCTCTACCTCTCACCTCTCACTCTCTCTCTCTCTCTCCTCTCACTGTCTCTCTCTCTCTACCTCTCACTGTCTCTCTCTCTCTACCTCTCACTGTCTCTCTCTCTCTCCTCCCTCCGTCTCTTACCCTCCCACTCTCTCTACCTCTCACTGTCTCTCTCTCTCTATTCATCCATCTGCAAAAATTAATGTTTTAATATGAATGACCAGATCTAATGGTATTGAAGCAACCGTGTAATTGTCCACTCACAGAATAAGCATTCTTTTCTCTACCTGCTACAGCAGTGACTGCGACATGCTACTGTATGTATGTAACTGTACATGAAGAATCACATTCTCTTTGTTATTTAAAACCTCTCTAATCCCACAAGTTGTAAATATTTGGTATAAACGGTTTGGTTATCTGACACTGATAACCTGCGGCAGAATGTACGTCCTGTAAATGTTTGTACTGCAGCGATGTTGCTGTTGACAGTGAGGGAGTTGCGGAAGTGGAGGCCGATACAGCAGGATGCTTACCTGACAAATCTGTCTCAGACTGTCTGTGAGACTAGACATTGAAAAATGGTCATCTTTGGTCGTAGCTAGTGTCTTTGTAGCTGGAAACAGATACCCTGGTCTTCTGGTGTTGCATTGTCCGGATGGCTAGACACAGACACCTGGTGTTGTAGTTGTACTGTGTGTGTAGACAGGCACCTTGGTCTTCTGGTTTGCACTGTCTGTGTGTATAGACAAAGACTAGGGGTGGGTATTGCAAGGAATTTTCATATTGAGATAAATTGCGATTTTGAAAGCATGTATTGCGATATGTATTGCAATATATTGCAAGAAGTTTTCCTTAACAAAAAATACGTATAATTGAGTTAATGCTTGATTTATAAAGTAAAAACACAACAAAATCACAATGCGTTAATAAAAACTTTTAATCATGACAAAATAAAAATGTAAATAATGTTTGGCACAAATGAAACAAGGAAAGGAACAATTTAAAAAACGGAAATATCCGAAGATTTCCGAGTGTTACAAAGTTTTCCGAACCAGTAAATACCGGTAAACCGGTTATATTGAGCAGCCCTAACAAAGACACCTAGTGTTGTAGATGCACTGTCTCTGTAGAGAGACACAGACACCTTGGTCTCCTGGTTTGAACTGTGTGCATGGCTAGACAAAGACACCTTGTGTTGTAGATGCACTGCCTGTGTAGAGAGACACAGGCACCTTGGTCTCCTGGTTTGAACTGTGTGCATGGCTAGACAAAGACACCTTGTGTTGTAGATGCACTGCCTGTGTAGAGAGACACAGGCACCTTGGTCTCCTGGTTTGAACTGTGTGCATGGCTAGACAAAGACACCTTGTGTTGTAGATGCACTGCCTGTTTAGACACACAGACATCTTGGTCTCCTGGTTTGAACTGTGTGCATGGCTAGACAAAGACACCTTGTGTTGTAGATGCACTGCCTGTGTAGAGAGACACAGGCACCTTGGTCTTCTGGTGTGCATTGTCTGTGTGGTTGGACAAGGACACCTTGTGTTGTAGATGCACTGCCTGTGTAGACACACAGGCACCTTGGTCTCCTGGTTTGAACTGTGTGCATGGCTAGACAAAGACACCTTGTGTTGTAGATGCACTGCCTGTGTAGACACACAGGCACCTTGGTCTCCTGGTTTGAACTGTGTGCATGGCTAGACAAAGACACCTTGTGTTGTAGATGCACTGCCTGTGTAGACACACAGACACCTTGGTCTTCTGGTTTGAACTGTGTGCATGGCTAGACAAAGACACCTTGTGTTGAATATGCACTGCCTGTGTACACAGACACCCTAGTCTTCTGGTTTGCGCTCCCAACATGACTGGACAGAAACACCTGGTGTTGTATGTTCACGCTCTGCATGGTTAGACAGAGACACCTGGTGTCATAGGTATGTGGCTAGAAACTGAACTCTGGTGTTGTTGGCTCACTGTCTGTTTGGTACAATATCAGCATGAACAGACACAGTATTCTGTTGTTGCTCTGTCTCTGTGTCTAGACACGGAAACTTTGTCAAATGGTTTAGTACTGTAGATGTAGCTAGACATGGATACCAAATACAGCTAAATCTTTCAGTGACCTATCACAGATTAAGTCATTGATCATGAGGACCGCCATGAAATACTGAATTTCCAAACATCATTAGGATTATGTCTTTCAGTGGCATTTAGAAGTTGTACATTGATGTCCAAGATATTTTTATGGATTAAACATCTTTTTAATTTCTCTCACGACGTTTCGAATCCATAAAAATATCTTGGACATAATAAGGATTGTATTGATAAGTTATCCGAAACAAAAAGCACAACATTTGTCCTAACAATCCTCAAAATGATGCTTATATTTTGCCACACAAAAAATTAACAAAATGTTTTTCATTATAACCTCAGCTCAACAATTTTGTACTTTTCCTCAAATTGAAATAAATGACATCAAAACAACATTTTAGACCTTGGACTGACTGAATTTCACCTCCGTGTGAAACATTGCTCAAGCCGTATTGACTGTCAACTCTCTCATTTTCTACTGCCTAACAGTCTCTCTTCACTAATAAACAATTCCCATGTTAACAGCTTC